TCAACCCCCTCACTCAGAATTCCAACATATTGTGCTCATCAGAAGGTTTTTAAGTCATAGTCTACATTATAAGGACACTCTTCATCAAACTTCTAATGAATTTGTAAAGGACTTGGATTTTGAAGTGGGAGCTTTCAAAGCACATCACTTGTGCGAGAAAGCGATCGTTGAACGAAGTTATCTGAAATGTGAAGGGGGTCTCCTTGAATTTGAAAGAACCTTCAAAAGGTCTTTTGTTCAACCTTTCAGAATCGTTACATTTAATCAATCTATCGAACTGCATCGTCTAGAACTCGACAGAAAAGGGTTTGTGTCTATAATGACTTATGCTCGCTTTTCAACGTAGCACTCATGTCAATATAACATCCTAGACTAAAGCTGATGGTGGATATATCCCCAGTAAGAGGCATACAAAGAGCAAGTAGTAGGTGCGTCATCGAAAGCAGGTACTTTCAGTACGCCCTTCGTCTTTGGGTCCTGTAACGATTTCTTGCAAAAAACCGAGATGTTTCAACGCGAACTTTTGTTTTGACGCCTGGACGCGTCTACACCACTATAAACGCGCCCGATGGCGCACGGCCTTGCAGGTTTCAAGCAGGTTTCTAAGTGGTTGTGTGCAGCAACCCATTTCTTCCGATGCTGGACTCGATTGTTATGTTGCGATATTTCGGTAAAGGACCTCATTTTATAGTTTCGACCACAACAAAGAAAACGTTGAAATGCATTTATTAAGTTATAACAACGTCTTTCAATCATATGAATACCGCTGGCTGTGGTATGCCTTTGGCGACACTGGGAAAGGGCAAAGAAGAGAGGGGGTCCGAAAGTAAGTCTGCCGAGCGCAAATCTTGGCGCCTGGCGCACATCACCATTATGGAGTACACACGAGAAAGCATTCAGTATATATACAAAATCTCGTTGCGCTTGAAGAAGAAGACGTGCTGAAACAAGGAGTTTCTGGGAATCGGAAACGGCTGCTACGTGAACAATTCGATGTGTGGGAGCGGACTTAAGACATGTGGGCGGGGCGCGAACGAGTTGTCTTGCGTGGTCGACCATTTAGAGCAGGCTGAGGGCTGCCACGCAGGCTACGAAACTATCCGCTTCGAGAGAGGAGGAGGTGTCAAATCGTTTCTGAAGGGGTTCCGTACACAGGGCTAATAGGAATTGACTAGATATCGTTATGTGAATGTATTTTCGAGTCAGAAGGAACACTAATGAGTTACACCTTTTACTGTGCTAAGGCTTACTTCGGTACTGGCCGGAGGAAATGGCGGCAGCGCCCGACTGCTCCAGCAGGCTTTGTCTGACACGATCAGAGACACCACCAGCCATTTCATTTAGTTGATCCTATGGGGAGGACTACTCTTATAGTTGCGTTTATGGTAAAAGGGCAGCGTTATCGCGAGGAGAATAGAAGATGACAAAGAAAAAGAACAGTAATGCTTGAAAATGGTAACTGGGCGGATGAGACGGATGATGACGCAACAATAGAGAAGCGAATGCCATATAGCTTTGATCACACGTTCTTAGAGGTTACGAGTTGGCGGCCATTAATCGTGCCTTTGCGCATTCTGGACACAGAATATCCGTACCGTCCGTGATGAATCCCTGAAATGATGCCATCTCAGCATTGTAACTGGATATTTACAACTATGTCACTCTTAGTATAAAACCACTCAGTGACCATCTTGAACTCCTCAAACCAATCTACGTATTAAATGCAAATCGTTCTTAACAAAGACGGAGCAGTGAAGTCAGCCCCAGCCCCTCTCAACCAGTCTCCCGAATACTGACTAACGATTGAGCTGATTACTACCAAAAAACGACAGAGGTATGATTGACGTTGACGGGAAACGTTGTGTTCTATGATTTCTTCGCCCGAAGAGTATACTGGCAGCTGCGGAATGTTATTGAACAGCACAAACTTCTATTATGCTGTTTTAGAAAAGCGCCTAGGCGCTAGAACTCCGTGTAGAAGGATTGGGATTCTCATACGCTCCTGAATGCCATGTATGGCCTACGAATTGCGGAGATAACGTATAAGACGGTGCTTAAATCTCCCAAGCCAGGTTGAACCAACCTCCCAAATCAATCGCTTAACCGGCCTGGAGTGGTTGCAAACTAAAATTTGATATCCGCGTCATTTCTATGGTAGCAACATACCCAGCTCTGCCCCCACATCAGCCATTGCTTAGAAAAACGATCGTCGTTGTTAATTGGTTGGCGTATTAGGCGGGTGTACTTATTGAAGAAAGAAGAAGGTGGTCAGGTGGGTACAGGTGTATTCCTTCTATCTCGTGGCTTTACCAGATTCCCTTTCCGCAGATGGTTTCATGTTGCCGTTCAAGGTACGGCTTAATCCACTTAAGTTGTCGGACAATGATTTGGTGGCCATCTAACCCATCCAGTGAGTTCATTCCAAAGGGACCAAACATTTTCACTCACCTTCCCCACCAGTGACGTTGTACATTGTGCACATATGAAACAGTCGTTATGCCAATGTCTATCTTCAAAGGAGATGAATTTGGCGCCTCCGATTCCTGGAAACGTCAACCTGACCTATGGGCAATGTAATAACAAGTATGTAATATATGACTCCGCTAGGAGCCTTTCATTGAAAACAGCTGCTGATGGGAAAAAGGATTCACCTGTGATGGGCTTCGTGCAGGCATTGCATCGTTTCGCAAACAGCTCACCATAGCAGTTCGCACAGTACGGCTTCTCGTCTTTACTCGTGAACCTCTGGCCTTAAATAATCAGAACTGACTTTCAGTAATAGAAGGAATGACGAATGGACGAGAAACAGCTTGAATTCTCAACGTACCTGCGAGTGATACATTACAATGCGTACAACAGAAACATTCACGATGCCATGGCTCGTTTTTATACGTCACACCACCGGTAGTTATTACCTGAATTCAGAATCTCAGCGAAACCGACTACCGACGCATTTTTGAGGATGTTTGAATCATTCAGAGATTTCCAACAGTCCATGGATTTTGCATGCAGCTAACCAGAACTGCTTTTTCATATAACTGGAAAAAAAANAAAAAAAACCCATGCTCACGATATTGAAATCCAATGAGCAAACATTATTTCTATCTGAGATGCTAAGATAGGTCTCGTCTGGCTATTTGTCTCCCTCTAGGCGCGTCCGCTTCTGTTACAAAAGCTCTATTGGCTACGTGTTACTCTTGTTTGCAAAGGAGGAATGTAAGGACATTTTGACATTGCCACAAATATCAGCGTGATTTGAAGTAAATCGGATGACCAGACGGTACTGATAAACTGATGAAACTACCAAAAAAAAAGGTTCTCAAAAATAGTCCAAAAAATTGCGTTTTTTGAAACTCCTCTCAGACATCTTATGTACGTGCTCTTTATGTTACACCTTTTCAAGCCATGACGTCCTCTTCCCAGATCGTGGTATTGGATCGGTGGGAAAGCAGATCCGCCCATAGCCATAACATGAACTACTAATATTCTTGATCGACTTTGTCGATCACCTGCAGCTTGAACCGAAACGTGTTTTGCGAAGTACCCGAGGAACGATTACCGCTGCTCATTTCATTTCCGAATTTNTTTGGTCCGGCCCCCGAAATTCGAAATATGCGAACTGAAATATGGACTTTGAACGAATCTGACATTACTTTATTCATGGATAATCGACCACTCCATGAAGGTATGAGTCATGCGGCAGATTTACGAAAGGAATCACTTAAGTGGGTTGAAGGAGATACTGTAGCTCCACGTTGTAGCTACCAAAAAACGTATGAATGCCGATTTCGCATTTCCGTTCCGATCACCCACAAAAGGAGCTCGAGAAACATCCAGAGAAATAAATCCTTACTGACTGATTCAGTAATGATACGGCCAACCCAAAGTTGGAACCCAATATTACAGTGAGTTTTTTCATATTCCAAAGGGTAGATAAGCAACAACCTAACCGCCCATGAACTTTCACGAAACCTCGCTTATCAACATACCTTTCTGCACTTATTGCACCGTGTGGCGAATTTCTCCTCATAGCAAGACCCACAGTACACGTCCTCGTTTTTGGGAATGAAAGATTTGGTGCCGATTGGATTCTTGCAGTGCGCACAGCAAAAACATTTGTCATGCCATTGTTTTCCTTTGTATTCCATCTTTTTCATGCCTGGAAATAGTGACACTGAATGGGAAAAAAACAGAGCAGCTGTACAATAAAATGGCTCGTACACGAGATGGTCAAAAGGATTCTGTTCATTCGGGTAGTCCATGAAAGTGAACCCTACACGATGACTCGGAAATTTCGATTTCTCATCAAGTGCAGTAGGATGTAAATTTTTTGGAAGCTATGAAATTGAGCGGCTCAGTATAGCCTATATCGCACTGGGAGCCATGATGGAGCCTCCCACTGCAGTGTAGACTACAGCGTGGATGGAGCCAAATTTCACAGAAGCTAGGAACTAGGAATTAGGAATATCATAGAAGTTAGGAACCCAATCAAGAAGAAAAGCTAAGCCAGCTGAGAGAAGCAGGAAGTGTAACGTCATTCTCTGCCGACCAGCTCCAAGCTTTTCCTGGGGGTGGTGTCAATTCTAAGCGCCTAAACGCATGCACAAACAAATCTTCGCCAAGCCATGATAACCTCATTTGGTCAGACGAGCACGAAAAGTCTCCCGCATGAAATCACTGAACACTTTAAAGCGAAAAAATGTGACGAGAACGAATCTTTGAAAAGCGAGCGATAGATCCTTTGCATAGCAGATAAAGGGAGTGCTCAGTAGGGCTAGGATCGTCCTGAATATGGGAGCAATAATAACCATCTCCCCTTCCCATTTCCAACGAGCGGCACTGTCGTTAGGGATGAATTAGGGATGAAGGATGGGCAAGCTGATTTCAGTCGACTTTACCGAATAGGCAATTCATTCAGACCAAATTTGGATAATAGATTTCAAAGCCCATTAAACCAATGGCATAATCGAAAAGGGCCTGCAACTCAAAATCCACCTCACGGGCATTAAGGTTGTTCTTTGGGGACAAGAACTGATGAAAAAGCCTAAAACTAACAACTTCGTGAACTGGTAGCATAAACAGAGCCATCGCGAAAATTCAAATGATAAGGTACCAACCTGCTCTGAATATTTCATTACATCCATCACATCGTGTAGCGAAAGCTTGATCATAGCAGTTTGAGCAGAAAATTCGATCGTTCTTACTTCCGAACGGCATATCCACCAGAGAAATCTTGCACATATTGCACAGGAAGCAATGTTCATGCCAGTGCTTGTCCTTATAAGAGAGATCCTGAAACGAAAAAAGCGGAGTGATGGAACCCTTAAAGTCCTTTTAGGTTGGTTGGTGAGCAGAACCGGGTGGTGTAGTGTGAAAAAGGCTGATTCAACCCTAGTTTTAGTTTGAAAACTGAACTTTATTCGAATCCAATCGAATCTTCATTTGCAAAGAGGTGGCTAACATTTATCAGAGTAAAAACAGGCTTTACATTGAGGTCACCACCGTATGTCAGGAAACCATTTCATCTCTTGGAGTTTGAGAGCAGATAATTATATGGCACCGTCGCTTTTGGTTGGAATGCATGGAGTTCTTTATTACGTGGGAAGCTCCGATTTCCTCTTCGCACAACCTTCCCACAATCTTGAAGCACAAGAGAGTTTTGTTGATTGAGAGTGAACGTATAAATCACAATTATTTCGAGGTTAAACAAACTTAGCTACCCTACTATATGAAACAGGTCCTTCGGATGAGAAGTCGTAGCTGATTCTATTCGAACCGAACTTCTGGACAGCTTCTTTTCAAGAAGAGTGTTCTGTGTGGAAATCCGGTCAAATCAGCAGTCGGGTACGCCAACTCGACACGTGGACCGAAAAAGCCAAGTGACGCGCTCGGCACACAACCCTTTTAGAATATAATGCATCTGAGTTCTCTTTAGCACTGTAGAAATCTCTCCTCAAAGCTCCTCGCGGGTGTAACCCGGTGCCTAATCTTCATTCACGGGACCACTCATTTCGGGAGTACGTCGAACGAGCCCACCTGCATATCAAGGCGATGGTAAAAGCCGCCGCTATTAAATCTGGCCGGGAAAAGGTTTCAACACCCCATGGAACTTTTAAATTGAGACCTGGGTATATCGATAGAGCCTAGAATGTTGCTCACAGAAATAAAAAAAATTTGTGCATGAATTTCCAAGAATACTATGAGAGCTTAAAGTTTGCTTGGAGGTACAAAGAGTCATATAATGCGATAGGGAACAATTGTAGGAAGAGTCGAAAGATGGCTGTAGTAATTAACAATGAAGAGGATTTGAGGATGGATTCTCTTTAGCACTGTAGAAATGTGTTTAGATGTTCCAGACGATTGTGTGGTGAGTTCACAGATGAATAACGTACCATACTAGTAGTCGACGTCGTTAGGCATTCAGTTGACCGTCAATGTTTACTGAACCTTCGCGGTCGGCTACTACTGTTCGACTTGTTCTTGATTCACGAAGGAATGCGTTCAAAAGTTTAGGGCGTCAAGGTCAGACCCGATAAATGAGCTCATGGTTGATATGTACACGAAACTGACCCCGATAATACTAATCGCGAGGTTGCAGTAGCGACTTTGTCCTCCGTCACCAGAATATTGCCAGTATAAAGGCTTTTTATAATTTTTCTTCGTTTCTTATGGTAATTGAATATTGGTATGAAAAGCCTTTGAAGCGAAAGCCGTTAAATGCCTCTCAGAATTCGAAGAAAAGTCGGAAGCTGCAATCAAAGACTGCAGAGTCCTCACACGGTCATCGGAGTCTAGACAATATGCAACTGCAGAGGAATGAAAAACAAACAAAAGCTGCAGCTGAAAAGAAGCTGATCGTAACAGTTGCACTACCTTTTATGTACTGTTTCGCTATCAGCTTGGGCTCAATTTCCCCAAAAGGGAGTGGTCACAAAAGCGACAGAGTGTCCAGAGAAAGTTACTTATCAAGAGGCAGAATATGCTTGGCTCATGGAACCGCCTTCCGATATCAGCAAGTCCTATTTTTTGAAAAGTCTTCCGTCGCATGGCCAGGAGCACCAGAAATCCGATTTTACAGAGGTGTATTTTGACAAAGGACTTGTTGGCTCCAGTGACCATGTAAATTCACCTTTTCTTTATAGGAATCGAACAAAAATTAATTCAGGAAATCCCGGCTCGGCAATTTTTCGAAATCAAAGTAAATCAAGAACAGTTCCATCCATCCCCAGTGGGTAAGGGAGGTAAGCAAAATGCAGCAACAAAGGATCCTCTTCAAAAACAGCCTTGCTAGTCATTTACCTCTCAAACTATTACTTATTTTCACAGATAAAAAAGGCCTCCGAAACAACTTGAAAGTGTTCTTCTTTCTTTCTGGGCAATATACATAAGTAGGTAGATTTGGGCAAAGCTCTCTCTTTCTGGGAGCTTCAGACGTGCAAATGGGCTCTTTAGAGGCATACTCGGTTTCTGCTTAACGAACTGCTCAAACCAAGCGGTTTTCTACTTCATTAGTCCAAAAAGTAAGTGGCTTACTGATGCGATAACTGAATGGCTTCCGAAAAGTCAAGCCATCCAGCGAGTTTCATTTGCTGCTGCTTCATCTTCCTGCAGCAAAGTCAACTGCTACATCGATCGACTTTTCTTGAAAGATGTGAACAGTTATGTCAGTGTGCGTTACACAGCCCCGAAAAGCAAAACACGCGTTACAGGGAGTAACAGTTGCCCTCGCGAGATCAAATGCTCCCGAGAACTTACTTTATCACGTAAGGGCGCTTATTCTACGCCATACCCGTTTAAGTTATGGTGGGCATTGTAAAAATAAATAAATATACCGAATTTAACTGGAGGAGTCGGCCGAGAGCNAGGGAAAAGATTAATCGAACCACCTTTGAATCGATTCCAATCGGTTTTGCACACTCATCGCACTGATTTGCGAACACATCCTCGTAGCATTTGATGCAATACGGTTGCTCGTCTCTCATAATATATCTGAAAACAAATGTGTCTGGCTGCTCGATCTAAGCGATGCTCAAACAAAAACAAACCTCTGCCCAGTAAGAGTCTGATCGCACTGCCAACAGCAGAAATGGTCGCTATGCCAATCTTTGTTCATCGCCTTTGTGTATTCACCGGCGAAGATCAGCTGGAAAAGACAGTGATCAATGAGGCGGTCAAGAACGGATTTTGCTGTGATTGGGAGACAAAATCGCAAGTCCAACATTCAACGTTATAGTCTTCTCGATCGGGAATGTTCTATTCATTGTAAAGCTGAGTTATAAGTCAGACTTGTACCGCTCAATAGCAGAGCCAATGTATGTAAGCGGCAATGTTTCACGCACGATCAATAAGCACCCATTTCTTCGATGTGAAAGCCCCTCCTCAATGCAACCGACAATTTTCACAAATTCCTATTTATTCAATACTTATTCGAACCATACTACTAATTCGATACATAATCAAAGTGAAAGGAGGAAAATGTCTGGTAGAATTGTCAAGGTAGTAATATCTGAACCTATTATATGATGAGTATGGCTTGAGCACAATCAAACCAAAAAATCGACGAACATTTCCAAAAGTATAATTAGAAGCGAAGAACATCGGGAAGCCCCTCAAACGAATCACACACGTGCCCATCAGAAAAGCCCCATCAAAAGCTTTAGGCGAGAGATGAAAATTGGACACTGCTTCAACTTTGAACATTATGGGGGTAATGTGGAGGTAATTTATGTTTGCGGTGGAGAAGAAGTGCTCCATAGAAACGAGATCAAAAAGCTTTTCGTTGAGTCAGGGAATAATGTGATTGTTGGGAGTAGAGGCCGCAACGCCTCGTTGTCCAAGAAAATTGGCGTCGAATTCGGATAGCATCAACAAAATTGCCGTCGAAGCGCTTTGACAGACACCATCGCCATCAAAGGGCTTACACACTAATTTCTCCGAATCAATAGTGCAAAAAATCGTTCGCGGGGCCTCGAGGCGATTTAATAAAAAACGAACGACTAGGAAACGGCGGAAGACGCGAAAGTTGCTTTAGCAATCGACCTAGAAAGGGAGAGATTTCACAGCCGCTGTGGTTCCATTGCTGTGCCTCTATGCACAGAACAGCAATGGCCTCGTAAACCCCTACTCGGGTAACACCAACGCTAAACGCTACAGTTTAATGGTATTAAACCATGTGAATTGAAAGCAAGTAAACCAAACGACCAAGCAATCAATCCCTCTCAATGGAGCAGGTTGGATTGACCTCCTGACCCTTTCACAGCTGTGATTAAAAGTTCAAGTTGTGGGAAATACTTCAAATTCACCTATGTGAGCTGTCTGCATTCCATGAATGGCCATAGAAGCACTCAATCATGGTGATTCTTCCGCAGTAACACTTGGCTCATTCTTTTATAGCCTGAGTTACCTACATGTGCCTTCAGTGGCTCACTCTGCCGCACTCTGACTACGCCTGTCCCTCGTTCGTACCTCCACGGGTCGTTTCGTGGAGTGGAATTGAGCCCGTTTTAATGGGTTATTGACTTCAACAAAATCAGACCAACTGTTAAGTGCTCTCTCCAAACAACTGCTCAGCGAACCAACTTCAAAATTATAGTACACCCCGATCGCCCCCAAGCAGTAATTGCTATGTGTAAAATAACTGTCACATTGTAAATCGAAAGTGGCATACCGATTTACCTACATCTCCCTCCACACGTACGCCCTCACGTAGGCATGGCGAAAGTGCAGACAGGGGAACAGTTCGGAACTGTGGGAGGTGAACGAACAGAGATGGACAGCTGGGTTGGAAAGTGCGATTTTCGGGAATAGGGATGCGATAAGAGCACATAACGTGAAGTTGAAATTGATCCGAAGTTCTGACAACATGCAGAGAGGAAGGAAAAGCAGCTACCTAGAAATAACGAAAAGCTGAGTGTAGAGAAGTTCTTGTTGCACACCATGGTCTGTGGTAACGCCTTTTGGGAACCTCTTCTCGGAAAATAGCAATAATTTGAGTGAGCAAAATGGACAAGCCCTTCAGGGGCAATCAACGGGCTGAGCAATCGAGGAGAGTGCGAGACACAGGAAATCGGAAGAAAGGTTAGTCGCAAAATAAGTGTGCGACCTTCCTTCGGGAGACCAGGACCAGGAAAGAAAAGACATCAAGCATAAAAGTCGGCCTACATTAGTTGCCCGTTAGTTGCCTCCTGCACAAAAAAAATGACAAGAACTTCATTTTTCTCTACACATCTCCAGCAAATGCCGAAAGTCTGACAACTGCTACGAGGGGAAAAATTTCGAACGAATGCGCTCCGACAAGACCTTAAGAGATAAAAAAAAACACCAAAACGCTATTCCGAACTGGTAACCCAGCTGGTAGCTGTTGCAATTATAACGACAAAGAAGCGTACGGGATGCTTGCAAGGGTAACTGATTTGCAATGGGAGTTTGAATGAGTAGATGTTGCAAAACAAGTAGACGTGATGTTAATTTTGCTTGGAACTCCCACGAGGTTGGTATAAAAATACTGTTTTTGATCCACTTTCAGGCTCTGAAGAAGGCGATATCGCGGAAACGTGAGCTATTAAATTTTTATACCGGTCTCGTGGGAGTTCTGAGCAAGATTAACATCAATTCACGACCATGCCGAGGTTTATAGAAGCCGAAGGTGGAGAAAAGTAGACTGCTAGTCCAGCATTCATCAGGACTTCGATAACTGATCCAGGGGAGTTCCAGGTTGAAGTTTTTTTTTTCAAAAATTCCTTTCTCCATGAAATCTCGAAAGATGTGTATCCACCCACAACCATTTTGCCCTTCTCAATATACATTAAAGTGAGATTAACAGCTCGAGGAATTCAAACTTCGCTCAGCCCATGTGCTCATATAATCTCACTCCAGTCTATAGCACGTAGCATGAATGAAAGATGGAGTAAATGTGTGATAGTCTACATGTATGTAGCTAGCGACACAGTCCATGATAATCCGTCAGTCTTGACATTCAAGAAGTGCCCTGGCAGTGAAGGGATTCCAAGACGATTGGTAAATTATAAATAGTCGCAAGAATAAGCTGAGGGGAATTCAGCCGAAACCAGTTGAGCGAAATCGCTTTCCAGAAACGAATGAACATGGCTTCCTGAAATTAAACTATGCGAAATGAGCCGCGGTTCGCTGAAATGCTTTCTCTTTCATAGTCTGACTAATTCTATGCCAAACAAAGGTAATTCCAGCGGCTTGAAGAATTAGCCAGCACATGGGAATGAACGGAAACAACGGGCATCACCTTTCTCACTTTAGCCGACGTCGTCTAACATAGCGCAACAGAAGAGGGTTATTGAACTGAGTGGGTGATCAAATGAACTTGAGAGAAAGCTTGAAATCGTAGGTTTCCCTCCGAGTATGCTCGCAGGGTATTCGTGGAATGGAATTCACAAGAAATTGGTACAAATCAAACCTATACAAAGAAGTAACGTTTACCCTAAGTGATGGAACATTGCGTGAGGGATTGCTCAATAAAGATTCGCTGCAAACACAAGGAGTAGTCATGATCATAGCGACCGGCCCACTACACTGATGAGGTCATTCAATAGGAATCGAAGGAATCTGAAACTGTTCGTGTTCAAGGCACGAAAACCGCAACGTCGTGTTCGCATTGAACGATTGATTTGGAACATGCGTAATTATGGCTGTGGGTGGTGAAAATGTAACTGCAACCACCATCGCTTCATCCCCCACTCCATTGATGATCTCCGGAATACCCATACGAGTAGAAGCGAAGAATGTTAGCCTGGCTTGACTGAGCTGGACGATTCCCCCCGCCGAGAGAGAGTTACTGGAGCATGTCATCGAGTCACTGGTTTAGCGAGCGAACTCGGTTTGCTAGCTTTTTGCCTTCTTCAAACCTTTTACACTTTATATACAGGGGCGAAATAGCAAAATTGACTCCGTTTGGATCTGACTGGTCTGAAGCCAGCGGACAAATATTGCTGGCCGTGAGGCTACGGATAACAACGAAAGAATTGCCAGTTTAGTGTGTTCAAAATACCTCAGTCATCAACAATGCTGTGCTGAATATTAATCCATGTGAAACTTTTCAGGACGAGCCCGCCTCTGGTGGGTGTGGGCAGAAAAAAAACCTCACCACCGGTTCGAGACTAGTCTTTCATTTTACACAGTATACGAAAAACCGCAAGAGCTGCTTGCACTTTTTCCCGAATTTCACTGCTCTAAATTCCAGTAGGTTGGAGATTGAAGGGATCAGCTCGAGCTTTGGAAGGAAGTAGCCCCAAAGCTGAACAGCCACCAACGGGACTGCAAACTACAAAGTTCAGCACGAAAGATAGGCAGGAGCTGGAAAAAGGTGTCCCCTATTTGCATAATATCGAAGTGAACGCACTGTCTCAAAGGCTATGTATTGCGGTGGCACCGTAATAGAATCCGCGGGTACCAGTTCGCCATTGTTGCTCATCAGGAAATCACGAAAGGACGATGGTAGTCTTGATATTAATAGAGGCAGTGCTGCATGGAAATTACTTCATCCTCAAAGTGCTGCCACAAGACGAGTTCGGCTTTACAACGAGCACGCAGTCCCAACACAAGAAATAGGGGACACCATAGGCAACATGTGTGCGAAGCCTACAGCTCTCTGAATAAGATGGCGGCATGTGGGCAAATGATAGACCGCGAGAATTCATAGGAACTCATTCTTGAGTAATAATGACATCAAAGAGCAGAATGAACCTGCTGCGATCCATTTGTAGTCCTAGTGAGGCCCCACTTCAGTTCAAGGGCTGAAAATCGAACTTGGTTCCCATCAGAGCGTGATGTGTAATAATGGAGGACACTACGACAAAACAAAACAAAATAAGGAAACCAATCAATAAAGTGAACGGTATTTAGCATAATTTCTTGATTCGATTACCAAACTGTGAGCGATTGTTGTCTATAAGCCTCGGGATCATCCGGTAAGAAATAGGCATCAATGAAATCAAGGAAAATCTTTGACCCCGACCTTTCAGTTGACTAGATCTAACTTTCGTTCGACTTTTTCGGAGACAGTTCCCCAGAGACACTTCCACAGCAATTCACTATCAACACATACTATTTCCCGGGAAAGAAAGCTCGCTTTCATATAGCCTATTTGACTACAATTGTCATCAGAACTATTTCTAAAAGTTTCCTTTTCGCCTATTCCTCGAATTGCCGTTCGGAACCATGGAATGGACAGGCCCTCTCTTATTCGCCTAA